GCTATGGCAAAAAGAGCTACCACAATCCTTGGATGTATAAACAGGAGAATAATGAGTAGGCATAGGGAGGTGACTTTACCTCTGTATACAGCACTGAGGACACATACTAGAATAATGCATGCAGTTCTGGTGTCCCCATTTTTAAAAGGATGGGGAAAAATTGGAGAGAGAGTACAGAAAAGAGCCACAAAAAATTGATTCAAGGGCTAGAGAAAATGTCTTTCACATGGGGAGCTTAAATCTCTCAATCTGTTTGGTTTATCAAAAAAGATAAGAAGTGACTTCATTACAGTACCTTCATGGGGAGAAAATATTAGGTAATAAAGGAGTCTTTAATCTAGCAGAGAAAGGCCTAACAAGAACCAGTAGCTGAAAGTTGATGCTAGATACTCGGCACAATTTTATAAAAAAGGAGTATGATTACTCCTTGGAACCAACTACCAAGGGAACTTGTAGATTCCCCTTCTTTTGAGGTCTGCAAATCTAGACTGGATAGCTTTCTGGAAGGTATTCTTTAGTCAAACAAGTTACTGGAGTAACTTGGAGAAATGTAATGGCATGTGATATACAGAAGGTCAGACTAGAGGAGCTAATGGTCCTTTTTGACATTTAAACCTCTCCTCCCCCAAACTATGAATACAGAGCTTCATCAGTTCAAAGATAACTGGTATCACTCCATGTAAGACAAGAAGGTATTATCCCTACCGTACACAGAGACGGACTTCTCAAGATAAAAGTTAAAGGGACACACAACAAGAATCTTGTTCAACTGACTAATGATAGAGAAACAAGCCGCGTGAGGTAATATCTTTTATTGGACCAACTTCTCGTCTCTCTCACCAACAAAAGTTGGTCCAATAAAAGGTATTAAAGAGACAAGGTGGGTGAGGTAATATCTTGGGACCGATATGGCTACAACAACAATAGAGAATTCAGATTTCTGATACAGCACCCACTAAATAGTAGATCTTGAATTTAAAAACAAATTAATATCTAAATGAATGTGTCTGAAATAATTTTCTGCTCTCCTGTTGACATTTATGAGGGTCTATTCAGCAAAAGAGAAACTGAGTGAATGAGTGAGGGAAACATCAAGACTACATATAAAATGCAGTTAAAAAGCACAAGGTAAAACATGGAAAGAAAAAAAATTGCTAACAATACAGTTACTGAAAGCTTAGGTGTTATTAATGACTATAGCAGGTACATTTTCAAACAAGTGTTATTTCATGTTCAGTGGTATCTCTAAGGGTCACATTTTCAAAGGAAGTTTGAATTGTGTGCACTTAACTTGAAATATCTAGGTGGCTCATTTTCAGAAGCACTAATACCTATGACTTCAAATGAAGTCAGTGTGTACAGGCGCTACACTTCTCTGGAATAAATATACATCAGGTTCTTCAGTGTCTCAAGTTGAGCACCCAAATATTAAGACACCCAAAATTATAAGCTATTTTTTAAAATTTGGTTCTAAATGACTTATCTAAAGTCACAATCAGCAGCACAAGCAGGACTGGAAATCCAGACTCCCTGGAATCCAGTCCCATTAACGATCTAATAAATTATCCTCAAGACATAGCTTTTCTGCTTGAATATTTTGATCTTGATCACTTCAAAAAAGTTCAACCATTAAACAAGTAAGTCAGTACTTTTGCATGAAATTAAAATAATACCTAGAGTGGAAATAAATTCTGCAGCAATGATTGATCAACTACAGCAACATATTTGGTATCTTAACATTTTTATATTATGCCAAAGAAGTTAGTCACATAATATAAACTTTTAGCCTTATGATTTTATTTCCACTAATCAGGGACAAGCATTTCATTTAATTTAGAGGAAGTTAAATAAAGCTTGCTTCAATGTCATCTAATTTCAAATATTCTGCATAACAAAAAAGTTCAGAAGGAAGTTTGAGTCACTACCCCAAAGTACAATTTCTTCACACTTTAGTAACCCCCACTCCGGATATTGGAATGGATTTATGGTAAGGTGAGGACTACTTTTGAGGTGACTAAAACCTATTCAATCATTTTCTCAACTCTTCCTTTTCTAAAGCCATACAACTGCCATAGGTGCTGGAACTAGGGGTGCGAGGGATGCTGTAGCACCCCCTGGCTTGAAGTGGTTTCCATTATATGCAGGGTTGACAGTTTGGTTCAATGGCTCTCAGCATCCCCACTGTAAAAACTGTCCCAGCACCCCTGCAACTGCCTGAAGATTTTTCAGACTATTCTCCATCTTAAAACTGTAACAATACATAAACTATGTAGCATGGCTTAATACTACCTTGTACTTGCCATTTCATCCTCCCAACATATTTATGTTGTAGAAATCAAGTTGTCCCTAGGATAACAACAGAGAATACACTAAATTGAGAAATGCATTAGGCTCTTAGAGTTTTTTTTTTTTTCTTTTTGAACATGGATCCTCCTTCCCTGACTCTATACTGTATTTCTGTGTCTCAAAAGTAGTACCTGCCTGAATATGAGGAAAAATTAAAATCCTATGCTGGACAGCATATGCTGAAAAACTTTGATACAGCTTGTGTTCTCAGGACTCTGTGTAATTATGATATGCCAAAAGAGAAAGTTTATAGAAAATTAGGCCATTATTTGACTACAAGAAAACTGGCTTGTCTACTTCACACCATTACTTTTGTCTGTTTTAAGAACTTGAGTTAGCTGGCTGAAGCTCAATCCAGAAAAGAAAGAGGGGATCCTGGATGGTTGAGGACCTATCTGGAAGAGATGGAAGATATCATAACTGACCCCTTTGACTAAGAAGATATGACAGCCCTTAGACTGTAAGATTCATAATTTGGGGGTCATGTTAGATTCTGAGATGCTTCTGGTTTTATCTGGCAACAGCAAGTCTCAAGAATACTTCCTCTCCACCACTTTTCGACTGGGGGAAAAAATTGCCAACTCTCTCCTCAGAAAAGGGGCTCACAACAGCTATCCATGCCTTTGTGAGATCCAGACTAATTTAATAGGAACAATATATACAAAGCTATACAAATATACTTCGAGACCACTCAGAAGATACAGCTAGGGCTGAAAATGGCTAGTGCTTAATTAGCAGCATGGGTCTCACATGAAGGATGACATGTGTGGCAAAGACAGCACTGCCTTAAAGTGTTAGTTTCTAGGAATTGGTTTTGTTCCTGTTATCTTAGGTATCGTCTATACTACAAAGTTAGGTCAACACAAACTGCCTTGAATCCATGTGTCTACACTTCAAATTTGTCTCCCATCAATGTAAGTTCTCCATTACACAGACAAAGTAACACCACCTCCCCAAGCAGCATTGAGCCATGGTCAATCTACTGAGGTCAACAAGCCCAATGTAGACACTGCATTACCTATGTCAACCCTAACAGTCCTCCAGCAGCTGTCCTACAACGCCCAACACTGACCACTCTGGTCACAATTGTGAACTCCACTGCACAGGAGACACGGAGACTGGAAGCCCAACCCACCCCCTTTAAAAGCCTGCATTTTCTTGAAATGCCCTTTCCTAATTGCAGGTTTCAGAGTAGCAGCCATGTTAGTCTGTATCTGCAAAATGAAAAGGAGGACTTGTGGCACCTTAGAGACTAACAAATTTATTTGAGCATAAGCTTTCATGAGCTACAGCTCACTTCATCAGATAAATTTGTTAGTCTCTAAGGTGCCACAAATCCTCCTTTCCTTTTCTAAGTGTTCATCAAGATGAACACAACTGGCAACTCTCCATTGTTGTATGCAACTGCACAGCTGGCTGTACCAACTACACGCTCCAGATGCGCTCCAGCCTGGAGTAGACAGGAGATATTGGCTCTCGGCCTGGAGGGAGAAAAGGCTGTTCCGAGCACAGCTACGTACCAGACATAGAAACATGTACAACTATGAGCAGATTGCACACGGGATGTAGGAGAAGGGTATGACAGCAATCAGCAGCAGTGCCACTTGAAAGCAAAAGAACTATGGCAGGCATATCAGAAGGCCAGGGAGGCCAACAATTGATCTGGTGCCGAGCTGCAGAGCTGCCACATTTACAAAGAGCTGCATGCCATACTTACAGACACCCCTCCCCTCCCCCCCCACACACACACCTCCGAGTCACAGGCCCCTGGCATGAACAGCAAGGAGGAGATAGAGGAGGAGGATGTAGGACATGTGACCAATGGGGGGTGCGGGGCCCGCTATGCTCTGATCCAAGACCTGTTTGAGGCTCTACCACAGCCCAGTCAGTCCCAGCAGTTGAACATGGGTGAGCCCAATGCAAGGCAAGAAACCTCAGGAAAACAAATGTACATTTATTTCCCATTAGTGATGGTGCCCCACAATTTAGCAGGAAACAGCTATTGATTTTTTGTTAATTTACTCATACTACAAGAGGTAGAGTAGCTATCTACTTTTCACTCCCTTGTAGAGTTAAGCACAGTGGCCATGAGGAGCAGTTTCTTTATGTACACAGGGATGGCCCTTGAATCTTCCTGAGATATCTTGATGAAACTTTCATGAGGTACACTGCAATCCTCTCCCGAAGGTTTCTAGGGATGGCACCCTTCTTTCTTTCTCCTCAGTAGGAGGCTTTTCCACATCAGTTGGAGAACTTCGGCAGGCACCATTACAATATGCTGTTACCTACTCAGAGGCCCCAGGATGTCAGCAGCAGCGGTGTTCTCTGTGCCTTTGTTACCCTCAGGAATGACATATCAGCTAAAATTACCACTGCCTGTGTAAAATGGCGCCCATTTTCAGTGCCATTGCCCTGTTCTCATAGTTTCATGCAACTGAGCAATTCCCACCTCATTTCCCTCACCCATGGCAGGCCATCCTCGCCATGGTTAGTGCTATTAGTGGCACCAAGTACAAGCACTCCAAAGTAGAAGTGCCAATAAGCATGTCTTGCTTAAACCTTTAGGGGAACAAGGGAAGGGAGTTCTGAAACTTAACTTCCATTTTCCATAGCAACTATACCGACAATGATACCTCTGTATGTTTTATCCATAGCTGCTGCCATTGCGGCCTTGAGGAGTTTCCCCTCCACACCTGTGGAATGCCTGAAGAAGAGAACGATTTGGGATGACTTAGTCGGCAAGATTCTGCAAGTCAGTGATGCATCAGACCATGACCAGAGCGCCTGGAGGATGAATACTGTATGGAGGAGGAAAGGAGGAAAGAGTGGACAGGAGTACCAGCAGAAAAATGAGAGGGAGATGCAACAAGACATAATGGGCTTCTTTGGCAGAAAACACAGATGCTGCAGATCCTTGTGGATTTACAGGTTCAGCAATCATGGACTAGCATTCCTTTGCAGTCCATGGAGAACTCCAGTATAGCACCTCACTACACCCCACCTCAACCTTCCATGTGGGATCAGGCGCTACATTCCTACCCCTACCACTACACTCAGGGGAGCACTAAGGACAATCACAGCTTTACATATACTGACCTGTGAGAGCCACAGTTTATGTATGTGTAGCTAAAATGGATATGAATGTTCCTTCCCCTTCTTTAACTTCAGTTCCATACATTTATGAAGGTTCTAAAGTATCTGCTTTTAACTTGCACCGAATTTTTTTTTAAGTGTTTATGTTACTCAATGAAATTCTATTGTTTGGGAAATAATTCATGGTATTAGTTCTCAACATATGCTGCAGAATGCTTAGCAGTAGCGAATCCACTTACTTTCTTGCTACTGTACAATGTGAGAACTCATAGGATCAGTGACAGAACCATGTAATAATCATAAATGTACACCAAGCACCACAAAATTAATAGGTGCATTGTCAATGTCATATGCTTAGATGTACTTCAAGCACCACACAATTCATAACAGGCCCCCAAACAGCAGGGCCACATACAGCACAGTACACCACAACATATTACTGTGGCTCGCTGTTAAAGTGTTCTTTCAAAGCCTCCCTGAGCCATATAGCTCTGTGTTGAGCATGTCTAATAGCCCTTGTGTGCCTATTCAAACTCAGTGGACAGCCACTCCACCTCAACCTCATGGCAACTTTCCCCCCTTTGCTTCACGGACATTATGCAGGACACAACAAGCAGCTATAACCGTTGGGAGATTTTTCTCAATCCGAGTCAACCTTGTGAGTAAATAACGTCAGCACCTCTTCAATCTATCAAAAGCATGTTTAACATTCTGCATCTAAGCCAAGCCAGCAGTTGAATATTTCCTTGGTGCTGTTGAGGTGCTAGTATACAGCTTCGTGAGCTAGAGGAATAAGGGGTAGACTGGGTCCCCCAAGATCACTATTGGCATTTCAACATCGCCAATAGTAATCTATCGGTCGGGAAAGGAAGTCCATGCTTGTAGCTTTCTGAACTGTCCTGTGTTCTTAAAGATATAAGCGTCATGCACTTTGCTTGACCAGCCACCTTTGATGTTGATGAAGCATCCCTAGAAATCCACTAGTTCTCAATAGTCATAGAAAAGTAGCCATTTTGTTGATGTACTCTTGTGGCAACGTGGTCTGGTGCCAAAATAGGAATATGCATGCCATCTATCGCTTCACGCAGTTTGGAAATCCCACTGCTGCAAATCCATCCACTATATCCCACACATTGCCAATAATCACCATCCTACATAGCAGGAGATGATTAATGGCCCTGCACACTTGCATCACAACAGCCCCCCACAGTGGATTTTGTAACTCCAAAATGACTTCCTACTGACCGGTAGCAACCTGGCATTGCAAGTTTCCACAGCGGAGAAGTAAACGACAATAGCTCTGTCAGTACAGCTCTCATTCTGGTGTTCCAGCTCTGGGGCAAACTCAATATACAGATCCAGGACTGTGGGCTTGCGCATCCAGAAGTTCTGCAGCCACTGCTTATCATCCCAAACCTGCATTATAATACAATCTCACCAATCAGTACTCATTTCTCAGGCCCAGAAATGGCACTCCATCATTTACAGCTGCTCCATGAATGCCTCCAACAATCTTGAATTGGTTCTTGCTATGTCCCACAGCAATCTGCCCTTCAAGAAATTATCATGTTCCCTCATCTCTTCTTGCAGCTCTGCAAATACCAGAGTAATTGCATGTCTTGTGTTTGCAATACTCATGGCAATAGTTCAGAGCTCTGCAGGCTCCTTGCTTTTATCAGTGATGGTGGAGAGTGACAAGTCCCACATGGGTTTGAGGGATTTTCAAAATAGGCATGAAAATTATAGGATAGAAATGACATTATGCAGTGGAGAAAGTTGCAAAATAGGAGCTTGCCCCCCACAGTCCCAGTCACCCCGTGCGACTCATTTCTGCTCCACTATGCATTGCCAAAACTTCCTGAAAGACACGGTGTTGGAGAACAGTGAGCTGAACACTGGGCTACCTAGGCATGGTGCATTGCACTGTGCATCAGCACAATCATTCCTGGGGACTACATGCAGTACCAATGCAAGAAGACAAGTGCGCACAGCAATATACTAACTGCGGAAGCTTTATGTCAAGGTAACTGGGGTCGGCAAAAGTTTGTAGTGTAGACTTACCTTTAGGCTATGTCTACACATACAGCTGTGCAATTGTAGTGCTAAACTGTAGACACGACAGCAATGGGAAGCATTCTCCTATCACAGTTAATCCATCTCCCTGAGAGGCAGTAGCTAGGTCACCGGAAGAATTCTTCCATCGACGTAGCGCTGTCTATGCTGGGGATTAGGTCAGCAAAGATATGTCTCTCAGAGGTGTGGACTTTTCACGCTCCTTAGAGAAGCATATGTCAATGTAAGTTTTTAGTGCTGATCAGCTTTCAGAGAGCACCTAATTCAACTGATATCAAGTGAGATACTGAAACCTAGATCTGTACATAAACAGGAAGAGCATTTTCAGTGAACTTAAGGTTTCCCCCAATGGAGCCCAAATTTATTGACTTCTAAGGCACACTACAAGACGTACAAATTTACTCCAGATTTTTTCAGAAGTTGTAGCCCTTAAGGGCAATGAGTTTCTTTTGCTGAGCTCTCTTTAGTTGACACTGAATAAGTTTTGCTACATTTTAATGGCTGTGGTATTAGTATGCATTTGGAGCTAGAGAATGTGGCAGGCACATTTTATAAAACTTAAAAATTCCCTACTTGCACCAGTTCCTAAATCCTCAGAAGAACAAGGCTGGAGGCCTTCTGGCAGAGTCTACTGCTTACCACCGCATCCAGGAATTCAATGCATGTCTTCAGATCTGGCCTAGTGTCACAGAACTGTCTGAAGAGAAGTCTCCCTATTGGCTGCTTGTCACAGAGCTGGTTATAGTTTTTTTCTGGGTAAAAGAAGAGATTAAACAAATGACATCATTACAAGCCAGAGTGCTGTTCTTGTCAGCCTCCACCCCAAACCCTGCTTTGCCTCCAGCATTTATAATGGTGTTAAATAAATATATAAAAAGGTGTTTTTAATTTATAAGGGGCAGGGGGTCGCACTCAGGGCCTTGCTATGTAAAAGGGGTCACCAGTACAAAAGTTTGAGAAACACTGATTTAGAGCATTTATATTGCAGCTTTCCCATTCAGGTAGGACCACCAAGATTTCATGCAATCATCATTAACATGTCAAAGGAGCAGGGCTAAACCACCTGTAAGGTCACAAAGGAAAGTGACAGAGACTTGCTTACCACCACCGCTGCCTCCAACATCCCACCACACACACACAAAATAGTGTAACACTTTTATATTAAATTAGCTGCTAGTTGCCTATATATTAAGGAAAAACACTTACTAAGGTCCTGTATATTACATAGTGGAGTGCCAGCCACAATGCAAACAAAAGCAAGCTGATTCTGTAGACCTTACTCACATGAAGAGTCTCATTACCATAAACAGCACTACTCATGTGACCACGTACTGTGGGATCAGCTTCCCTATTGAATTCCACTATAATCATTTGACCAAAATACCTGTGGTCCATATATTCAACATCAGATAGGATTAGTAAATCATCAACAACAATTATTTGTATTATTGTAGCAGCTAGAAACACTAGCCATGGACCAGGGCCCCATTGTGCAAGGTGCTGTACAATCAGTGAACAGAAAGATTTTCTCTGTCAAAACAGTCTTACACTCTTAGTAATACTTGGAGGAAAGTGTAAAAATCCCCATAATGAACTATTATGAACAACAAGTCCATCGGAAAGCTTCTTCCTAAACCAAGCAGTTGGCCAGCATCCTGGAACAAATACGAAATCAGCATCTCTACCCTTCCTTCAGAGTGTATGCACACTAATGATGCACATTAAGGAAAAGGGTGTGTTTTTTTAAATAGGCATGTCCAAGGACAACTGGATCTTGAATTTGGGAGCCTGCCAAAGTGGGTTTGGTATGTTTTTCTGGTGGGCAAGGGAATAAAGACCAAAGAGAGAAAAGGGAGGCAGGGAGGACAAGAGAAGGAAAGAGAGAGAGAGAAAGACCAAAAGCAGAACAAGAGGGGGGGAAAATGTGGATTACAGTATTAAACAGTATAGTTAAATTTTGTGGGTGGGGAAAGAAAGCTGATAGTTCCTGTTTGTCTTACAGATGCCAAAGCTGATTAAGAAGTTTCGTCTTGATAGTTTTATTTGCAACATCTGTGTCCAAAGAAAGAATTAATGCACTTTCATGGTAGCTTGATGCTTACACAGAAGCTTTCCAGTTCAAAAGGTTTCCCACTGAAGGGGTTTACATTTTAATTTCAGTTCTTCAGAGCTGATTTAAAGAGGCTTTAAAAACATAAACAAAAGAAATATCCAATCTGAGGCAATTATAGGTTATTGCTTCAGAAAGGCATGTTGTCACAGTCACAGCAGTATACCCAGATTTCCTTGAACAGGCCACTCTAACATTGTTGCTAGTAACTCGTTAGCATCTGCAATTTTAACATTCTGATGAAGATGCTTCGTTTTTGTGATTTAAACCAGAACATAACAATGTCTTTGAATCACAAGTTAATGAGATTTCAGGAGCAGTTTTCTTGGGCACAAATCAACAGTAGCTGTGACGTTTGGTTTCCCCTCAAGAATTCTCAATTAAATTAGAGGACTTGAGGTAGGATTACAAACTAGCAAAATATCTACTCAGAAGCAAGAAGAAACACCTTCATTGGATAATGACATACTCCCACAAGAAATCAGACTTGTGTATTATACACACACACACACCTACCGATTGAATGTCTAAGATCTTCACAGAAACTGAGATGTGGTAACTTTAGCATTTCCTTCCATTTCTTACTGCGTCCATTCCGTTTGCCACACCCTCCTAAAAGGAAAACAAAGCCCTATGTAAACAAGAGTGGTCTACAGGTTGATCCAATGCTACAATATGCTCTCTTTCCTCTGCAGAGCATATATTGTGATCTTGGGTCATTCTCATTTCTACAGAGAGGTGCCAGATATTTTGCAAGTGGATTGGACTATTTTTTCCTGCAAGCAAGATTATCTAAACAAGCAAATGTGAGTCTCATAACAATTCCCTCATTGTCTTTAATATCTCTGGTGTATTCCAATTTTCTACCATGTGCAAAAATGTTTAGCATCCAGGCACTTTGTACTTGCATGCAGAACATCATCCTTCTGAACCCATAATTCAAATTAACTCTTAAAATTAGACATAGGATTGTGACCCACCCACAAGATCAGAAAAACTTCCATCTATCCAGCTGTGCATATTTTATAAGAAAATTCACAGCTTTGGAGAATCTGAAAATATCTAGGTATATCCAGCAGGTTTAGGATAGGCCAGAAGTCTATAGTGAATTTCCTTCCTTTATTAGCATCACAATTTCAATATCATATTAACAAGTGTGTTTCTATCATTAAAGTAAATATAATCCCACATGTATATTCTGATACCATACAGAGTTCAATCAACATCTTGA